CCAGGGGCTGACTGGCAACTTTTGGCCCATGGGGCAAGTACAACCCAGAGGCCCATGGTGCAGTGACTCGACACCCCTTTGGCAGCTTAGTGAATAACCCCCTCAGTGATAAAGGAGTGCTCTGTATGTCCTGAGGGGGTAAACTATTTAGGGTGCAATCACCATAAGGGGTTAATTTTTCTAGTGATCTACTTTATTTGATTTTGTTTTTTACATTTTAACATATCTCTTGGTCAGTTCTGACAGGGAGAGAAGGGGTCATGGCATGTCAATGTGTTTCGACATTGGCTTAGTATTCAGATCAGGCAGTGATTATAACATGTAGTCATTCTCACTACCTGATCTGTAGCTATTAGAGACAGCTAATCCCAGCATACAGTTTACTGGGATCAACTGTCACTCAGTGTCATCAGAAGCACATCTAATAAGAGCGGTCATTAAATGCTTCTGAGAAAACAGCATTTAGTAACAGCTTTTTACATGCTGAGATCTTATTGATCCCAGCATGTATGTCCTGCCTAAAGGTGCCCATACGCTTTACAACCCTCGCAAGGCAGATCGTACCTGCGATCATCGCAAGCCCGCCCCCCTGAGGGGCGGGCTTCCGATGACTGCAATGCTGAACGGGCAGTGTGCGCATGCGCACACCGGCCCGTTTGGTAGTGATCTCTCGATCATGTTAAAAACCAGCCGAAAATCGTACGATTCTCGGCTGGTTTCCCAACATGCTCGATATACAAAAGTCGTGCGACCGTACATTAGAAATGGTTGCACGCCTTCCATACACTGCACGATTATCGTACGAGAATCGTGCAGTGTATGGGCACCTTAAGAGTGATGGGAGTGTGATTGTTAACAGCAATCCCACTCCATTCACTCTCAGGCAGCTAGTGCACAGCATGGATATGGGATGAGGTCAGTGGCAGGTGAAGCACCCTCGGCCTGCCCCCTTCCACAGGCACAGTCACCAAGCTATGTATTCATCTGCCCACGGTTGTGACCGTGGTAATTCCATCGCTGTAACCCACCAATACATTATACAGCAATGCAGAATACCATCAGCTGTAGAGGACTACAACTCCTAGCAATACATTATACAGCAATGCAGAATAATGACATCAGTTATAGAGGACTAAAAATCCCAGCAATATATTATTCAGCAATGCAGAATACCATCAGCTATATAGGACTACAAATCCCAGCAATACATTACACAGCAATGCAGAATAATGCCATCAGCTACAGAGGACTACAAATCCAAGCAATACATTATACAGCAATGCAGAATAATACCACCTATAGAAGACTACAAATCTCAGCAATGCATCATACAGTAATGCAGAATACCACCAGCCATAGAGGACTACAAATCTAGAAATGAATTATAGTATAATGTAGAGCAGCAAGAATTCATATACAATTGGTGGGGGGAATGATTGTGCTGTTCCATACCTGCTGCATGAATTGCACATCGTACTGCTCCTCTGTAGTCAAATCACATGCATCTCATAGCCCTATATTACTCATCCTGCTGCTTCAGCACGCTGCCGTGTTATTGGCCTCTGTACAATGATCAATTGTGGATTTTCCTGGAGCCAAAATACTATTGTTTTTGGAAAGGTTCAAGCCCAAACTGCTATGTAACTAATGTGGGTTTAAATGAGATGGTTGTTTACAGTGCCCCATGAACTTTAAAGTGATTTTATGTCAATGAAATGTATTAGCACTGTATATTCAATGTATTATTTTTTTAAAGGAAATACTTTATTAGGTTGTTGATCTATCTTTGGACCACCAAGAAAGCCCCAATAACATTTGTTATATGTAGGACAACATACACCTGCTGTGCATGGATTGCAGGGATCTGTAGTTTTACAGCAGGCAGAGCAATAGAATGCTCTTCTTTAAAATACTAATACGCACTGACCAATAACATGGCTGGAGCAGCAGTATGAGCATTACAGAGCTGTAAGATATAATGTACAGCACTAGTCCTGTGTGTTCATCGCATGGGAGTGTACAGAGGTCAGGGCGTAGCGCGCAGTACAGATGTCAGGGCGTGACACACAGTACAGAGGTCAGCAGTATAACCTCTCCCACCTATGGCAGCTGAGGTGGGCGGAGGAAACTGTGGTAGCTGCCGCGGAACCCATTCGTTAAAGGCAGCCGAGTTGCTTCTTTTCTTCTCCCTGCTGCTGCCTCAAGGACTTCATCTCTCCCCTCTCAGCCGCTCTGCTGCTGCAGCGGCCGAGACGGGAGTGATAAAGTGGTGGCAGCGGCGGTGGGCGTGTGCAAAGACAACAGAGAGGCAATTGCCACCCTGCCCCCCGGCCCAGTCCTCCCCTAGCTCTGGCATATTGCATATTCATTTTTCATGACTACTGCAGGCAGAGGGGAGAGCCGTTCAGTTTTTTTGCCTACATATAGGTGCCCCTCTTTCTCATCAGTTAGAAGGTATGCCGGTCCCATAAACCGAAAATCCATCCCACACTTTATTTTTGTCATATTACTTTATCAATATTCCATGCTTTTTTTTGAACGAATTATTAGGGGCAATAACCTTTTGATAAAACAGTAATTGCAGGAGCCAGGTTCAGTTGCAAGACTCAAATACAATTAAAAGGTATTAGTAAATATTTTTTTTCTGTAATGTAATATCACACCCCATTTGTATGTCCCTGAAAAACATTTACTTTCAGTGTAACTAGAGTTTATGATATTCAGGAGGTATGTTCATGTTTTGCAATGTTTACATTCTGCTACAACTGTTCTGAAAGGCTTATCCGTGTTTTTATGGTCTATGTTTTGGTTGAAATTAAGTTATGAAACATCTAAAGTTAAATAGCAAGGTCATGCAAGTCACTTTCCATGTGTATCATTAGCTATTGATGACCTGATCATTCCCTAAAGCCTTTGAAAGCCGTTCCTAAAGTAGAGTGGAACGTTAAAAATACATTCAAGTACCTTAAACTGACAATAAACTCAGGAGTTAAATCTTAATACATTCAAGTACCTTAACTATTAACAAAAATATAGGATCTACAGCTGAGTGATACACAAATAAGCTACATGTTTGCTAATAGTTAAGGTATGTGGCAGTGCAAGGCAATGCCACAGTGTAGTTTGGCAACTGTGGCACCCGGGACTCTCAGCCAGGGGGGCTGAGAGGGTCCAGAGTATAAAACATTTCATAAGGAAGAACCTGGCTTTTCATATTTTTTTAGTTTTCTGAATTGTAGCTCGGATCTGGAGATCTGGAGATTTCTTGAAGCTCTGGAGATTTCTAAAGGTGGCCATACACTTTACAACCATCGCAAAACCTTAGTCTTGCGATGGCTGTAAAGTAATTAAAAAAATGTACGATCTGCCCATCTTGGACAGGCAGATCGTACTTGCGATCATCGCAAGCCCGCCCCGCTGAGGGGTGGGCTTCCGATGACTGCAATGCTGAACGGGCAGTGTGCGCGTGTGCACACCGGCCTTTTCAGCATTTGTCTCCCGAGCATGCCACAAACCAGCTGAAAATCGTAAGATTTTTGGCTGGTATCCGAACATGTTCCTTAGACAAAAGACGTGCGACCGTACAGTAAAAACGGTTGCACGCCTTCCATACACTTTGCGATTATCGTACAATCGCGGGATTTCCCGCGATTATAGTGTGATAATCACACAGTGTATGGGCACTTTTAGAGCTCTAGGTGGGATGAAATCTCTCGTCCTGGAGCCAGGTGTAGCCAACGATCAGTCTGGGCTGATCAGGTGGCTGAGAGCAGCCTCATTAGGAAGCCAAGCTAGAGTTCTGGAGTGGTGTGTGCTGGAGGCACACAGGGGGCTCAGCCAGGTGGTGGGTGGAGCCACATTCAAGGAACAGCTAGGGAGGCTGGAGGAATAGACAGGCAGAGAGAGCCAGGCACACAAGGTGTGTGGAAAGCTGCTGGAAGTGGTTAAACTTTCAGTGTGCTTCAGGGGTATGAAGTACCCCTGAAGCATTTTGTTGAGGCAAACGTTACGGCATTTTGTTGAGGCAAACGTTAAAAGTCTGGGACATTGAGTGAACAGGACAACCTTGAGTTGGTGAGACAATATACTTTGTTACATGCTGAAGTTAAGCCTGAAGTTGTGTTTTGTTCACCTGTGAGTTGCCTGGAGAAAAAGAATAAATACTTTTTGGTTTATGGAAAAACCCTGTGCGAGTGCTCTATGAGCTCCCCAACATTACAGGTACTTGAATGCATTTTCAAGAATTAAATTAAGTTTAGTGTCACTTTAACTATTGATTACAAAAATTGTATTTATTTGTACATCATTTGACTGTAGATCCTCAAATCATCTCTGAATTGGTGCTAACACTGTCCTTCCAAAAGGAGGGTGGTTATTTTTGTTCCCTATGGTCCCTGTGTGTGTTGTAAAATAGCTGCTGCTCCAAGCTCACTCCCATGATGGACTGCAATCTCAGATTCAGTTTACTAATTTGTATTGAGATAATAGTCCATCACATGAGCGTGGCTATTTTCTTAACAGTGAATGGCCCTAGAATTATATTATAATTTTGTCATGTGCAGCTATATGTAACGTGTGTGGCATAATGGTCGTTTTTGCATGTAGGCACACATGTGTGTACATTATGGGGCTTTAAAACAATAATTTTTATGCATTTTCTTTTTACTTAACCTTATTGCTATCACATAGGGGGCTAATAGCTCCCAATGTGATAGCACATTTTATATGACAGGTTCTCTTTAAGGAGACATTAGTGGTCTATCAGACCCCTGAAACTGCTTTAGCCCTGGTTCACACCTAGGCATTCAATTTTTGCTCACGTTTTTGTGTGCGTTGTCCTTTTAAATATGCGTTTTTGTGCATTTAAACGCTGTTTAGAAAGCTTGTTCTCGGCTGGGTGTTAGTGAGTCGTCCAATGAAAAGCAGTATTTAATTTCAGTTTATTATTTAATTCTACAAAGTTACAATTACAGACAAAACTTAAATAATGAACATCCTACCTGAGAGGGCTGTTTGCGTTTGCATTTGTAATTTTATTTTCACCAGGTCAACAGGTCCACCAATCCCAACAGAAACCAATCCTGTTAACATGCTGGCAATTGTCAAGTCTATGAGGTCCGGGGAGCATTTTCTGTCTGTATGTCGATGCTGACTTATAAAATTTAGTGCATTGCTGAAAACACCAAACACTATAGAGTTGTAAATTGCTATGCTGGCCAGAGGGAATGACATTCCTTTAAAAAACCCAGTAACCTAGGAGAAAATATTAAAAATAATATTACTTGACTGTGTCTTAGTAAACAGATAATAACAGATGATCTAACAAAGACAAGTCAGGGATATTCCCTAAAGGGTGAAGAGTTTTTGGAGAAGGCAGGAGAAGTGAACAATCTAGGACAACATAGCTGAACTGGTAAGTGAGATGCATTGGAGAATTTTTCCAAAATCAGCCATTATGGCCTAAAGATTGCTCACTTCTCCTGCCTTCTCAAAACTCTTCACCTTTTAGTGAACCCTGATTATGTATGCATACACAATACTAAGATTAATCACGTTTTGTTATAACTTTAAAAAAAAAATTAAAGAAAGAAATTGTGGCTAGACTGATGATTGATTAAACCAAAGAAAGCACACCTAACCTGTTTGAGGAACTTTATCTCATCTCATTAAGGTCTCGTTCACACCTAGGCGTATTGCATATGCACGTCTGTCGCGCGATTCGCGTTAAAAAAGTTGCGCGACTGTCGCACGTTTCCGAAGGCTACTTGGCTGTATCCCAATGGAAACGCGCAACAAAACGGCCCAAAGTAGTACCTGTACCTTTTCAGGCATGGGCCGTTTTGTAGCTCGTTAGGGACGGGCGGAAATACGCCAAGGTGGGAACAAGACCATTGAATACAATGGGATTTATATTTTTGAGCGTTTTGTAGAGCGTTCGTCGAGCGTAGAACGCGCTACAAAACGTTCAGGTGTGAACAAGGGCTAAATCAGTGATATAGAGGCCACTGCTTATACTGTACAAAAAATCCTCTTTATTTCTGTATATAGTCAACACACAAGGTTAAAAACCATTGCAATTTACACAAATAAAAAATTAAATCATAAACCCAATCACACCAGATATCTCCACTATTATTAAGGGGGTTATTCACAAAGCAAGCCAGAGATTTATCCTTCAGCTAGCTTCGTCCGCTGGAGCCCTTCGGTTCAGTAGAGCCGAAGGGCTGCTGTATGAGCTTTTCACAATAGCCTGTACAGCTCCCGAAGGCAGCCGAACCGTTCAGCCGAGCCGAAGGCATATGCTTCGACTCAACTGACTCGAAGTGACCCCCAAAGCGGGACGAACGGCCAGCCAAAGACCGGCCGGCAGCCTCGCACATGGCAGCTGGGTGGACACAAGTCCATTGAGTTCAACCTGTACAGGCCAAACCTATAAGAGCTCTCCTGCAGTGTATGTATGTATGTATGTATGTATGTATGCATTATAAAAATGCATCATCATGTGGATCATCAATTGCTGGCTTTTACCGTTATTTGGTTGCTAGGGGCAACAACCATTTTCAAACGATCCTCCAGAGCAGTCAACTGGATCTGCACAGATTCCTTCTGAGCCTCAGGGTGTGCTGCCTTGGACTGCCGTGCCCGAATCAGCAAAGCCAAAGTCTGTTCTTGGAGGGCCTGGACCTCTTCAAGGTGGCGGTTGGCTTCCGCTGAGGACTGCAGTTGCGCCTGAATGGCCTCCTGCTGTGCCGCTGTTCCTGGACCAGGGATTTTACAACCTCCTCCATTCCTTTGTTGGGGGATTGCAGTGTCTGTACCGCTTTAACCCAGGACATATAACCGCATGTACTGTCCCTTTTAAATTGTCTTCACTCATGGCTTTTTCTGGCTATGCCTGCTACCTCCACCAGATTTAATATTCAGAGCAGTTCTGATCAATAGCCAGCCGTGTTGGTAAAAATTAAAAGTCTTTATTTTTCTCTCAATGCTGAATGCTGAACAGAAACAGCAAACAGAATATATGAACAAAACTTCTCTTCAATATAAAGGAAAATTCAGCTCACCGCCTGTACACATACGTCCCTTCTCAGGGTTGGCATCCCAGCCTGCTCTTCAGAGGGTCAAACACAAACAATGGTGCCCAGCAATGTCTCAGTAGCAGCCAGTCCACAGCTCCATACTCAGCCATGTCCTGCTCCAAAACACACCTCAGGGCTTGTTCACACCGAAAGCGTGTGCGTTCCAGAGCAGTAGCTGCTGGAACGCACCGCGATAGCTGAGAAACTTCCCCTTGCATTTTGGGGCGGGAGGGGGCATTTTGCATTTGCAGTGGAACAGAACGCTGGTAACGTTTTGCCACGCATCCGATCGCACTGCGGACGGGGGGGTGTGGAAGCAGTGCCATTGACTTCAATGCATCATCACGCTTCCTCCCACATAATCCTATGCAATGCTGCAATCTCTCTATGTAGTCTAAACATTGTACTATAGGATGTTAAAGAGGTATGGAGAACCTGAACTCTGACCTAAATATAAATAAATATATATTCTATATAATTTTACAAACCAATGACATATGCAGGCTCTGCATAAGTACCGTGTGCTTGTTTGGTTTTTTTTTGTCAGTTTTCCAATGGCAGATTGAATTTAGGAAATGCACTGGTGTACAAGCAAGTGCAGAACATATCTAAAATTAAGGTGGTAGAAAATTGCAATGTACTCACATTTTCATTCCTGTAAATTCTAAGAATACAGTTAAATGTATTGCCATACCCTTGGCCAGCTTGTAATCGAGCCTGAAAATACAACAGGTTAGAAAACAATATTAGTGTCCGTTTGTATATTATGTATTGTGTTATGTATTGTCAATAGTCCTGATGAACTTTGCAAATAAGAACTTATAGCAATAGATTGAATCAATGTATTATATTTTATCGACAATTATATTTTATAGACAACTAAAGAAAACAGTTCACTGTTAAATATTCTATAATGCCAAAGAAAGAGTAATGTGATGATTCCCCATGGAGTTTAAGACAATGATACTTTGAAAAGGACTCTTTCCAAGAATGAGAATATTTATTCACATTTTTTGTTTGCATGATTGGGAAATCAGAGACTAAAATGCGCATGATAGAATTTCTATGTCACTGGATCCTTTTAGATATATACTACACAAAGGAGACTGTTATTTATCTTAAGCTTCAATACAAGGCAAATTTGGCATATGTTGCCATTATTGGATATACATACATTGGAAGCCCAGCAGAATATATGTGAACTGGCAAATAAAAGTGCAGTATGTCTGCTGTGGTGTTGTCTGATACATCAGAAATATTTTATTTCCCCCAAATACATCAGTGAGGCATGCCTGGCAGATTCTGTTACCTTAACTGGATGCAAACATCCAAAACTCAGTGGATTTTACGTGAATCGACAAATAGTGGTGCAACATGCCTGCCGTGCCTTAATCCAACTGACATTTTGAAGGAGGACTATTATCTTGTGAAGAGTATGGAAAGAAGAGAGAAAATATATATATATATTGTGGAGGACGGCAAGGCTGGGTCCTCGATGGGAGATATATATTGCCACTGTTCGGGTTGTGGTCCCCAGGAAGTGTGTTTAAAGGTCAGCAGCTCCCAGAGGGGATTATGGGAGTTGAGAAGGAAGTGATTAGCTGTGGCTTTGAGAAAGACCTGCAATATTGCTGTGCTGACAGGACTTTATTTCCTGGGAAGGGATTCCCTCAGGTTTAGGACTTTGCAAACAAGTCGGTGAGATACACTTATGTTTGGTTATTTTGTGCTGAAGACTTGAACTGTTGCATTGAGTTCACACTGTTTTGTGTTTATCTTTGTGGCGGCCCTGCAAGAGGAAAAATAAAAGCCTTTGTTTTTACACAAATCCATATGTGCATGTGCTA